GAGTCATAGAAATGGTTAATGACCCTGTGCGCAAATGGATTATTCGATTTGATTCTACAATAGTGTAGTTAGTTTAAACAGGTATTTCTTTTTTTACTTTTCGTCTTTGATGATTTTGACAATGACTGAATCAAGCACTTCTGCTTGAATATCTCTCAATTTCATAGATTTGCTTTGATAATTACTCCTTATACTTGATTTTAACTCATCAATTACTTCATCAAGCCTTTCTCTATGGGCATCTACTACATCACTTGCTTTATCATCAAGAAAAGCAGAATCATCTATGACTTCTGATAACTTGGATATTGGGGAAGCAATGGGTTGCTCATCGGCTAAAGTATCATTGTTTAATAGCTCCATACCATCATATCCATACGCACTTTGCGCATCATCCCTGGCGAGCTCATCCTTTGTCTCTTCCTCGGTATGTTTGGCGTTTTCCATCTCTAGCTGTTCTATTTCCACTATCTCAGTTTTCTTCTGTTCTATCTCCAATTGTATCTCTGTTTGCTCTGCCTGCATATCATCATCCACCTCTAATTGCCTGGCCTGATCATCATCCACCTCTGTCTGCTTGATCTGATCGTCATCTGCCTCCAACTGCATTTCTGTTTGCCCAACCTGAACGTCCATTGCCTGTTCTGTCTCCTTCAACTGCTCTATCTCCTTTAACTCGTCTGGCTTCAAATGCGTTACTTCCATCATCTCTTCATCTTCCAACTGCTCCTCTCCAAGTTCATCCTGTGTGTGCATCATACTGTCTCGAACTGATTGGCTATCTATGGTTTGGGTATAAGCCAGTGATTCAACATCCGTCAGGTCCTTTTCGGAAAAGCTTGATGAACGGACCGTTTGCTTTTCAATGTCTATGTCCTCCTGTGGTATTGTATCACTTTGAACCGTATCTTGAGTAGGATGTATTTCTTGGGTATTCTCCACTTGGTTTAATTGTTCATGTTTAGTATCTTGCAATTCATGTATCGTCTTGGATCGAGTTGATACTAACTCGATCAAGTCATCAGGTTGATCAGATATGTCATTTTCCAAAGCGTCGATTGCTCTTTTTAAAGGTATCCTAGGCATCATCTCATTATTATTGTCATTTTTTGGTTTTGTAATAAACACATCATTCAGAGGTTGAAGCGCGAGTTCAGACGTTGGATGTTTTCTATGCTTTAGATATTCAGCTACATGTCACATGTCAATGATTAGTTTATATGTATTATTTTTATATACTTTTAGGTTTAACAATAAATCGAGGAATGCCAACAAGTTCTCTACATGTAGTTTAATACCGAATCCATCAAAAAAAGAGAGAGAGGTTACGTGTTTGTTCTTCGTCTTTCTTTAAATCGTATTTTATGATAATCCCGTAAGTACATTTTTTTTAAA